CTGTTGGTGGGAATATACACTGGTGCAGCTACAATGAAAAACAGTGTCGTGTTTCCTTTAAAAATTAAAAATAGAACTACTGTGTGTACCACTAATCCATTTCTGAGTATCTAAAGAAAACAAAAACACTAACTTATAAACATACATGCATCTCCATGTTTATGGCAGCATTATTTTCAACAGCCAAGATATGGAAACAACCTAAGTGTCCACTGATAGATGAATGGATAAAGATGTGGTGTGTGCATACACACACACACACACACACACACAAATGTAATACTAGTCAGCCATAAAAAAAAAAATCTTGCCATTAGTGACAACATAAACGACATTGAAGGCATTACGCTAAGTGAAATTAAGTGTGACAAAGAAAGATAAATGCTGTATGATCTCATTTACATGTGCAATTTATACAACAACAATAACAACCAGCACCCAAGCTCATAGATATGGAGGATAGATTGGTGATTGCCAGAGGTGAGGGGTGAGGGGTGAAGGGAGTCAAAAGGTACAAACTTCCAGTTGTAAAATAATTAAGTCATGGGGATGGAGTATACAGCATTGTAGCTATAGTTGATAATTCTATATTGCATATTTGAAAGTTGCTAAGAGAGTAGATCTAAAATCTCTCATTACAAAAAAAAATTTTTTTTGTAACTATGTATGACAATGGGTGTTAACTAGACTTATTGTAATCATTTCACAATATATACAAATATTGAATAACTATGCTGTATACCTAAAACTCATATAACGTTATATGTCAATTATACCTCAATAAAAAAAAGAAAATTAAAAAAAGTTTGCATGGACCTTGTTTGGATCCTGATTCAATTAAGATAGCCATGAATGAAATTTTGAGACAATTATGAAATATGGCCTTGCACTGGGTAATATGTGATATTAAGGAACTATTATTTTGTTAAACATGAAAGTGGCATTTTGGTAGTTTATTTACTTAAGGACTAACTTCTGAAAAATTTATAGATGCTATGATGTGATGTAAGGTGGAAGATGAAACATGACAGAAAGTTGATATTTGTTATGTCAGTATGTGGAATTCATTCTATACTCACTTGACTTCTATGCATGATTAAAATTTTCCATAATAAAACTTTTAAAAGAAAAGCTTACTAAACTTTACCTGCAAGAAACCTAAAAACAGAGCTTCCCTGGGTTTGGACTTCGTACAATCTTGTGCACTAAAGGTGGACAAAAAGAAAAGGGCCTGCATTGAGAGGAAGGGGAATGAGAGATAGGAAACCAGTGGGGACACACTGTCCATGTGTCCAACATATATCATCTCAGCCCCAGGTCCATTTCTTCCAGAGCTCATAAAAAGATAACTGTTAAGAATCCCCACTGAGCTGCCTCAACTTTGGGATTAGGAAGGACAATGTTTCCCACAAGTGCAGAAAGAAATTTCTATTCTTAGTGTGTGGCTTTTCCTACATCATCAAAGATATCTCTGCTTATGCCCATGGCCCCTGGAGTTGCTGCCTTATTTGCTTGTGAAGCAAGTAGATGAAAAGATAGAGACTAATTAAACCTATCATCATTGAGAAATGGGACTCCCTATGGTTCAGCTACATGGACCAGCAGGCTTTTGAAGTCCAACATATAGATGCATAATATAATAAAGCCTGAATTTAGGGGAAAAGCAAGGGATCTTGCTAATGGATATAGTCTGCTTTCCCGTTACCACAAGGGTAGTCTCCCCACAACTGGCTGTTTTGCAGGTTTGCGTATTTGTTTCTTTGTCTTGAAAAACTGAGTGGAGAAGTAAGTTAAAATACAAAAAGTGTTGGAATTACTTCTTTAAAAGCCTGTTCTTTGCAAAAATCAACAGAATAGGCAAATAATTAGCTAGTTACTCAAAAGAAATAAAAGGAAAAAGCACAAATGCACAAAATAAGGAATGACAAAAGGGATATCATTATAGGAAAAAGGAAACCTTAAAAGATATAGGAGATTATTTTTTAAAAATTCTAAGGAAATAAATTGGAAAACCTAGATGAAATGGGTAATTTTCTAGGGAAACAGGGCTTATCAAGACTGAATGCAGTAAAGATCAAAGAGAAAAAAATTCTAGAGAAGAAAAAGAGAAAGTTATCAAGGAGCTACAACCCTCAGAAAGCACCTACCAGGGGCGCCTGGGTGGCTCAGTCAGTTAAGTGTCAGACTCTTGATTTCAGCTCAGGGCATATCAGGGTAATGAGATTGAGCACCGAATTGGGCTCCACGTGGAACCTGCTTAAGATTCTGTTCCTTTCTCATTTTCCCTGCTCCCACCGAATCATGCACCCACACCTCTCTGTAAACAACAACAAACAACAAAAAACAAAAACCACCTACCAAACCTCCAGAAACCAGGTAACTCCAATGCCATCTGAACTCTTCCTGAGCAAAGGTCAAAAAGGAAAACTTCCAATACTTTTTATTAGGTGAGTATAACACTGATAAACTTGATGAATACTGCATTAAAAAGTACATGTAGATATTTAATATTTGATGAAGGTGATCTATCAAAACATTTTAGAAGATAGATATTTTTATAACAAGTACTGGGAAAGGTAACTATTTGGAAAAAGTTAAGACTGAATCCATATTTCACAGTATATGTCAGGATAATCTCCAAGTGGATCAGGATCTAACTGCAAAAGCTCAAACCATACAAGTACTTCGAGAAAACATGGGTGAATTAATCTATTACCAAGGAGTGGGGGGCAATCCAGAAACAATAAAGGAAAATAGTTTTAAACTCCAATATGTTAAAACTTAAAATATTTTGCATAGCAAAGAACATCATAATCAAATGAAAAAGAAAAATGTCCAACTGGGAGTAAATATTTCTACTTATATTACAAAAAGGGATTAATCTCCCTAACATATAAAGAGCTCTTAAAAATCTAGAGGAAAAGGACCAGAAATCTATAAAAATGTTAGGCAAAAGACCAGAACAAACACATCAGAGAAAAATAAATGTAAATAGCAATTAAATGCACAAAGAGATCCATAAATCTCATTCACATGAGAAATACACATAAAATTTCACTGATTTAACATTTCTTATATGGGCAAAAAAATACAGAAGTTTGAAAATATATATTGTTGGTGAGGGCACAGAGAGGCATACACTGCTGTTGGGAAAATAGTACAACTCCACATGGTCAGGGATTTGGCAATACCTAACAACATTTTACATGAATTTATACTTAGAGTAATCCCACTTTTAGACTGTACCAGGAAGATATACTACCATAAAGAAAATAATATATGCACAATGTTATTCATAATGGCACTATTTGTACTATCAAAATATTATAAACAACTCAAACATCTACTAAAATAAAGGACTGGTTAAATAAACTATAGTTACTCCCACAAAATGATGTACAATGTAGCTGTAAAAACAAAATGAACAAGATCTCTCTGTGCCAATATAAAATGTTCTTGCTGAAAACAGCAAAATGCAGAACATAGATAAGTATGCTTCTTTTGTGCTAGAGAGGAAGGGGATAGTGAGGCAGATACATGATAAGTAGTAGAAAGAGATCTGCTCATTTGCTTACTATTTTCAAAATGAGACACTAGAAAAATAAATGAGAAACTAAGAAAATAGGCTATCCATGTGGGAAATAGAGTAGAAGGGATAAGAATGGAGACAATACTCTGAGGATTCCATTTTATATAGTCTCACCTTTGAGTCATATACATGTTTTACTGTGGTATAAGACCTAAATTAAGGCTTGATATGATGTGCTGCCTTGACATCTGGTCAAATCAGGAGGGTCTTGAACTAAAGTTCCCCTCCCTGCTCTGCTCCTCGAGGATATAAGGTCCTTTAGCCATAAAACCCTCTTTTTCAAAGGGAACAGGCAACGTTCTTACTTGTCCCTGAGCACAGGTTTCAGTTTTCTGCCCGCCCACAGAATTATTCGATGAGCCAATCACAGCCAACGAGAGGAGCCAATCACGTCCTTTGCAGGAACCAGGAGACTGCCCACCCTCTTGATACTACAAAAGCCACAGCTCCTTGCAGTTCACTCTGTTCTTGAATACAACCCCTGCGTGATCCTGCATGAAGTATGTGTCCTTCTCCCCCATGCTGTGAGCATAAGTGACTAATAAATTGCTATCTTATTGGTACAGTGTCAGGTATTATGTGTCTGGCTATTCCCCTAATCCTAGGGCAAGAATCTCTCCCCTCATCAATGGGGTGAATAGGAAGCAGTTAAAATATTTACATAATTAAAAACAAATCTTAAGAAAGAACCAAAAAATTGAAAACAAACTGAAACCAAATATAAGATATATTCTTATATCAGAAAAAGAATTATTTCAAAGGACTTTTGACTGTTTATTTTTAGTGGAATATATTCCAAGACTTAATGATAACTACTATAATTTTTAAATTATTTTATGTATCTGTAGGACAGAGAAAATTAGGAAATAGATTACTAGGGACCCAGATTTTCAGTGGAAACAAAAAGAGACACAAATAGAACATAAAAGAAGAAAAATTGTAATGTTAAATGTTAATTTGAAATATCTAATGAAAATTCATGATTTTTTTAAAGGTATGTATATAGATCTCTGTCCATTACCCTTGATGCAGTATCATCCTTATAGTAATGAGCATCACTAGTCCCATTATCTTGATTTCCATATTCTATCCCCCAGTTAAAGAAACCAGGATTTCCTGAAGAAATGGCTTAAGTACAAGGTGACGTAGACTATCTTGTGCAGAAAACACAGAGGTGCTCAAATATGACATACAAGCCAATGGAGAGGAGCTACCACTGGTAATATCTGGCCTATTTTAAACATCAAGAAGAATAAGGACTGTAATTCACTGAACACACTGAATCCATAAAAATCCACAAGTCCAAGCTTATATTAAAAAAACAAACAAACAAACAAAAGACCCCAAAGCCCAAGTCCCAGCCAGTTCCTACTGCAGTTGCACAATGGCCCACCTCCTCTTTCCTTTCAACATGACAGATACTGCTGTGTCCTTCACCAAGGACTTCCTGGCGAGTGGAGTGGCTGCAGTCATCTCCAAGACCGTGGTAGCACCCACTGAGTGGGTGAGCTGCTGCTGCAGGTACAGCATGCCAGCAAGCAAATCACTGCAGATAAGCAATACAAGGGCATTATAGACTGCATGGTTTGTATCCCCACGGAGCAGCAAGTCCTATCCTTCTGCCTGGTCACCTGGCCAATGTCAACAGATACTTCCCTGCTCAGGCTCTCAACTCTGCCTTCAAAGATAAATGCAAGCAGATCTTCCTGGGTGGTGTGGACAAGAGAACCAGTTTTGGCACTACTTTGCAGGGAATCTGGCATCTGGTGGTGTCACTGGGGCCACATCCTTGTGTTTTGGTGTCCTCTTGATTTTGCCATTACCAGGCTAGCAGTGGATGTGGACGAAGCTGGAGCTGAAAGGGAATTCAGAGGCCTCAGTGACTACAGATCTGCAAATCTGGTGGAATTAAGGGCCTATACCAAGTTTAATGTGTCTGTGCAGGGTATGCTCAGCCACTGAGCTGCCTACTTCCATATGTATGACACTGCAAAGGGAATGCTTCCAGATCCCAAGGACACTCCCATCTTCATCATCAGCAGGATGATCGCACAATCTGTCACAGTGGTTGCTGGGTTGACTTCCTCTCCATCTGACACTGTTTGTGGCCATATGAGAGTTCAGTCAGGGCACAGAGGAACTGACATCATGTATAAGGCATGCCTGACTGCTGGAGGAAGATTGCTCGGGATAAAGGAGCCAAAGCTTTTTCAAGTGTTCATGGTCCAATGTTCTCAGGTGCTTTTTGCTTGTCTTATATGATGAAATCAAGAAGTTCCTGTAGTTATTTCCTAGTTTTTACCCCTTGTGAACAGGCATGTTGTATCATATAACATATCTTGAACCTTCTTGACAGACTGTTGGCTGTCTGTTTATCAATGGCAACTATTTACTGGCTGAAAATGGGAAGTGATAATATTCATCTGACCAGTTTTCTCTTAAAGCCATTTCCGTGATGATGGGACTCAATTATATTTTTTATTTCAGTCACTCCTGATAAATAAGTTTGAATAAAAAAATATCTGAAATTTAAAAATAAAAAATAAGTGGAAAAAAAGAAATTAACCTATTTGCCAGCATTAAAGGTGGTATCATCTCCTTACTCAGGAAATCAGTAATTTAAGGGTAATTAGAATTTATCCTCCATCATTGGAAGGTAGTGCATCTTCAGTTCACAAAGGGAAATTTTTTAAAATGTCTTAAAACAGAAAGAAAGGCATGTCCGATAACGAATGAAGGAGGAATGACAGAAGTAGAAAATTACCCATATGACAAACTTCAATGAGATGTATTCAGGCAAGAATTATCAATAAATACTAAATTCAGTAAGTAAAAGTTTGGGGGGGAATAGAACATCTGCACAGTGCCAGATGACCTGGCAATGACAAAGGAAAAACTTATTTGTACAATGGAAAAAATCTGACTGCCACCACCCTAACCTAGTGATCAAATTAGCATCACTAATGATGAAGCTGTGAGAGACCACATGCCTCTTGAAATGATGCAGTATGAACTATGCAGATCATCTATGTCATGTCCTTACCAAAAATATTTACTCTGACTCTACTGGTCTAGCATCTTCACATTGTTAATGTCATGAATAAAAGAGTCTAGATTAAAAGAAACATAACAACCAACGCATGATTTTATCGTAGTTGGATGAAACTGCTATAGAGGGTATTTTGGAGACAATGGAAATGTGTATTATAGACTAGTTAGCAAATGATATAAGAAAACTGTTCATCTTTTTGGGTGCAATATGGTATCATAATATAAGGAAATATTTTTTAGAAGATATTTGCTGAATTGTTTGTAATGGAGCTGTCATAAGATTGCAAATTATTTTTTTTAAAGATTTTATTTATTTATTGACAGAGACACACCAAGAGAGGGAACACAAGCAGGGGGAGTGGGAGAGGGAGAAGCAGGCTTCCTGCTGAACAGGGAGCCTGATGCAGGGCTCGATCCCAGGACCCTGGGATCATGACCTGAGCCAAAGGCAGACACTCAACCACTGAGCCACCCAGGTGCCCCAAGATTGCAAATTATTTTAAAATCGTTCAGCAAAAGTTTGCTGACAGCAAATAGAGTAAAATGGCAATGTTTTTTCAATGTTGAGTGGTAGACATATGATTTACTATTCTTTCAACTCTTCTGTGCGACTGAAAATGTTTATAATAAAAATTTATAAGATTGTCATTTTATATCATCTACTTTTTAAAAACAATAAGGCATTGCCAAGCTTGTAGCTGGCCAATGGTCCTGCTGAGAAAAAGCAAATGGGTAAACTTCAAAAATCCTCCAACGTGTAAAGGCATCAAAGAGTTGCTGATACAACCAAAATTAGAGGGCACAGGACTCTGGAGCAAGTGGAGAGATGTGCTGACTTCAGCCTCTTTTGTTCTGGGAGATATTTGCCAAATCTGGCTCAGGGCAAGAGGCTGTGCACCTGGACTTTGCCTAAGCACAAGGTCACTGCTGGAGGACAGAGAAACCAGAGACCTTCAGTGGTCTCATGGAGAGACAAGACCAAAGACTTGAAGAGCTGATGGCCAGGTAGAACAGAAGGGCAGAGAACTGAGCCTAATACAGGCTATTTTCTCCCCAAGACATTTATCAAATTCTGGAGCTGTTGAGGGCATTAAGCTAAAAGCCATGAAGAAACCTGCTGAAAAGCTGAGTGGGATTTTCTGCAGTGTCCCTGTGATGTGCATGAGGATTCAAGTTCAAGACCACCAGGGGAAGGTACCCCAGCAAACATACGAGGCTCTCTGTTAAAAGATCATAAGAACTATCCTTTGGGTACAGAAGAAAATTAGAGGTGGACAGAACCTTTGATAAACTGCAACCAGTCTTAACTCTGCCTAATCCCTAACTGGATTAGAGGAATCAGCTATCACTCTTTCTGCTGATAGAGATAAAATGATAAGGCCTCTGAGAGAATTAATGTCATCTGGATCCTTTACAATGACTACCACAGGTCTCAGTGCCACATAAGGATGATAATATCCAGAAGCATAAAAGAAACATCCCTTTTTTGCCACTTTAAGAGCAAGGGGAGGGTTGCCTGGGTGGTTCAGTTGGTTCAGCTGCAGACTCTTGGTTTTGGTCTTAGGGTCGTGGGATCCAGTGCCATGTGGGGCTCTGGGCTCAGTGCGGAGTCTGCTTGAGATTCTCTCTCCCTCTCTTTCTGCCCCTCCCCCCACTCATGCTTTTTAAATAAATAAATAATCTTAAGAAAAAAAAGAGCAAGGGGAAACTTCCCCAAACTTAATCCTTTGATTTCTCCTCACATCTCCTTGCCAGTGCCTACACCAATCATTTGGTAAGGATGATGAGATGCTCGTGATTGGCTTAAACTGACTAAGGCTCATCATTCCCCCTTATTCCCAATGGCCCTGGAGAGGGACTCAGCCTCTTTAGAAAGACATGGACTCTTAGAGGAGGATGAACCCAATCAGGCTCTGTTAGTAAGAAAAGAGAGAATGACAATTGAGAAGGCAATCAACAATGTTGCCACATCATTTATCAGCCATTAGTATGGGACCTCAGGCAAGCTATTCAATCTCTTTGGGCTACAATTTTCTAATCTTTAAAATTTAGATAATACCTCAAAAAGGCTGCTGTACATATTCAATAAAATTATATATATTTTAAAGATTTTATTTATTTGACAGAGAGATAGCGAGAGCAGGAACACAAGCAGGGGGAGTGGGAGAGGGAGAAACAGGCTTCCTGCTGAGCAGGGAGCCCAATGCGGAACTCGATCCCAGGACCCTGGGATCATGACCTGAGCCGAAGGCAGACGCTTAATGACTGAGCCACCCAGGCGCCCCTATATATATATATATATATATTTTTTAATTACTAAATGTCTAGCTTATTTTTAGTGCTTCAATAGTGTTGGCTAATATTGCTTGCCATGGTTTTGAGTGCCTTCTTTAGACATCATCCAGCTGTCAGTGGTCTTTTTAAGCATGACACCCTAATCCCAACCCATATGTCAGGTGTGTGCCCAACGGCCCAGATAGTAGGACTGGTATCTACCTTGCTCTTGCTTCTCAACATGCTATTCTGACAGCTGGAGAGGCATCTCCAGGAAAATGGGCCATCAGAGTGTGAATTGAGGCCCACAGGGAAGACAATTCTTTCCCCGCCATCACTCCCTCCCTCTCTGGTTCCCAATTCTGCCTTTCACAGAGTATTAATTTATTACTTTTCAATTAATAAAATACAGGATTCAGAGGTAAGCCAGTGGATATAAGAACCACAGGACAAATGGGCTCATGTTCTAAGAGTTCCATTTTTACTGAAAGATTTGGGATGGGTGGGATGTAGAGTTAAATAATTTAATAAGATTTATACTCTAGGGCGCCTGGGTGGCTCAGTTGATTAAGCGTCTGCCTTGGACTCAGGCCATGATCCCAGGGTGATGGGATCGAGCCCTGCATTGGGCTCCCTGCTCAGTGGAGAGCCTGCTTCTCCCTCTGCCTCTGCCCCTCCCCCTGCTCATGCTCTGTCAAGTAAATAAATAAAATCTTTAAAAGACTTACACTCTAATCAAGTTTAATGAAAGTAACTTTATTTTAATACAAAAGTAAATGTGATATGGAGAACACAACATTTTCATAGATTTTACAAACAATATGCAAGATTTGAGGAAAATTTCTGTTTGGAGTGACTGACCACTTTCCTCTGCCTTTAGGGTCACTGTGTAGGAAAGGTTTTAGAGCATTGTGCTTCTAATTAAATGCATATTCTGGGCTTTTTCTTTTTAAGGTAAATACTAGGAATTCCTACTGAGTTTAGTGCAGAATTTTTTTTTCTTTGAATAACAGGAGTGATGGGAAAGCCTGCTGGCAATGGATACCTGTGGGGGAGATGTCAGTCCCTGAAGAGCTAGGACAAAGGTCTCAAATGAGGGAGAGAGGGGGGTAGACACTATTTCCTCTAGCGCCACTCTCAGAGGTTTAGTGAAATTTGACAAAGCAATAAAGGGTAGACACTAAGCTGTTTTTATCACTCGGGGCAATGTGCTCTAAGCGTTGGTTCCTTCTATTGCCCAATGGGCACAATGGCACCTCCTTTACTGTGCTCACAGTGAGGATCAAGTTAAGGAAGCTGATGTATGCAAAGTATTGAGGACAGTTGCCGGTGCAAAGTAAAGTGTTTAATAAATGTGACAACCTATAAGCATATTTTACCAAGGAAGGGTTCAAAAAGTTTCTTTTTGTAATTACTGAAACTCGTATCTATGAGCAAGGATTCTGTGATCACAAGGAATGTTATTTCTCCCTTACTGGGGGGGGCATGCCTGGTTGTGATAATTCTAACACCAGGGGCATGTTTTGTGCAAGGAATTATCCCAAGATAATTCTGTCTTATCCTTGATTATGTAACTAGTTACTCTTGGTAACCTGCTCTGAAACAGGAGATGATGATTCCTTTACTAGTTAGTACAACCAAGTGAGCTGGATATAAGCAGGCTGGAGGCAACAAAGATAAATCAGACATAGACCCACTTTTAAAACAACTCATCCTCAAAAAAAAAAAAAAAAGCCAAAAAACAAAACAAAACAAAAACCCCAACTCATCTGCCAGGAGGGGAGATCAGAGTGTCAGTATCCATCATAGCAGGATAGAAAGTTCTAAGTGTCTCAAGGTTACAAAGAAAATACCATGAGAGTTACAAAGAAACCACATGTTGTACCCACTTCAAAACCAGATTAGTTACAAATGAAGGAGAACAAGTTTTTTTTTTTTTTTTTTAAATTTATTTATTTGTATAAGTTGCTATTACTAACACCAGCATCATATAGATTTCGTCTGGTCCCAGGAATTCAGCTGGATAGGGATCAAACCATTCTGAACACCTACGAACTCAACAGGAGATCGAAGAAAAGAATAGCAACAACGCTCTGAACAGAAAAGTGACCACTTACTGGAAGGTAGGACGTGCGGAGAAGTGAATCCGAGGGATATTCGGGAGGATAGACGGCGGGGG